CAACAACTCCTCATTTAGTGCACATGCATGAAAGCAATACAAACCTTTAATGCACAACCAACACAAAGCATATTTTTATATCTGCTACCTCTGCACCCTCTTTCTAATGTGGCCCATTTAAAAAAAAACTTTTGAACTCAGGAACTTATGTTGATACTAAGCGCTTGCTTTCATGTGCAAAATATAGTTTGAAGTCCTTTGAGGTCAATATAGTTGATAAAAACAATGCAGATGAAACAGGAGATTTAAAATTGTTTTTGATAAGATGCATGCACAGACAGTCAGGAGACAGAAAACAAACCTGCAGAGAACGGAAGAGTTGGTCTTTACGAGATACATGGAGCACACCTGTAAGCTCTACTTATCACAACTCTTAAAACTGTTATTCTTTAGAGATTAGAAAAGGCTCTACTATGGGTATTCTACTTTGTGCTTGATTGATGCCCTAATTTCATTTTTAAAAACAATCAAATAAAAAACACTTAAAAGCTTCAATATAATGTATTTCTTAATAATGCATTGATTACAGTATATGCTGCTGAACAGTTCCATGAACTAAAGTCACTAATTACTCCACTTTACAGCCAGTAAGCTTCTGAAGACGCAACAAGGACAAAAGACTGATTTTATAGGGGAACAAAACTCCAAGCAGAGGTCGATAACACAGCTGAGAGATTCAGGTACTCTGCTGAATCGATTCAACAAAACAGGAACAAGTAATTGCTCTAAAAAAGGATGGTGTATTCACCATTCCTCAAAAAAAATACTGAAAGCCATGAAGGACAAACGGTATTTTCTAGCAGCCTTTGTTAAAGATGAATCATGTGGAGAGAAGATGTACAAAGCCAGACTAAAGCAATGTTCTCCTGCTTTTCTCTTTGTTAATTGTATTTTTATACTTAGGAGGGGATCAAGATGGATTTGATGGGTCAAAACCCGAAATTAAATGTGACTTTAAACTTAGAATTCAGGAGAGTTTAGTTAGGGCAGATGAAGGGAGGGAGTAGAGGAGTTTACGCTTAGAAGGAAAAATGCTTACGGTCAGATATTCCTACTGCTGATAGTAGCTGCACTGTAATCCCAGGAGGAGTTTGGCAGTAGTTTGCTCAGGGATTACAGTGAGATCACAGAGCTCTGAGGAGATGGACGAAAGCATGGCATCAAGTTTCAGATGATGGATTTTAATGGGGTTATTTGGGATAACCACGTGGGATCAAAGTACGTAAAAAAATATAACCCTCTCATATCTAAATGTTTTGCTACACTATGTACAACTCTACGGAGCTATTTTTAACCCCAAAAAGTCAAAAGTCATGCACACAAAGGCGCAGAGCAATCCAGGATGCCTCAGTTTTTAAAAAAAACAACCAAAGTTGTGTTTAAACTGTGGTGCGATGCAGTCCTTTCGGACATTTGAACTATCTGCCTTCTCATCTAATGCCATTAAGCTGCCCTCCCTTTCCACCCCGCCGCCTTGTGTTATTTTAAATCTGGGTCTGAAAAGATCCTGCTTTGACCCCCCCTCCAAAATGTCCCTGGGGGGGACAGCTCTCAACAAATGCCCTGTGCTGTTTTATGCAGAGTCCTCTAAGTGCCTCCTCCATCTGAACAGATGCGAGGCCTCTGCCAGGCAGACATGCAGAGTGCTGCCTCTTCCTTGTCAGAGATGATGTGCTGCTTGAAACAAAGACTCAGGCTTAATCCACTGATCAGGCATCGGATTACATGAGATTTCTCATGACTGATGGTGTTCGTCTGTGCATTAGCTGAACATGCATATGAGGCTTAAAAAATTTTTTTTCACATGTGCATATGCTGATGTACAGTACTGACACCTTTATTAAAACATCAAACTGAGCTGAAATGATTGTCCTTTGATTGACCAAATGCAATGGTTATGACCCTGAAGATGGTATCTAAATTTCAGTCTGAATCTATGTCAATATGTGTCAAATAAACAACCCTAAAATGAGTTATCTTACTCTGCTACCTTGGGACTCTGTGAGCTTTAGAAATGACCCAGGAATAATTCATGGGTTGGTATTCAATTTAACTGAGTGGTAAAAGTTGCATAAAGATTTAATGCGGGGCATGTAGGTAACCTTGAAGAAGTTCACTGCCTTCAGCCAGGGAGTTGTTCAGTCTCTGCAAAGTATACCATAGAGTTTAAAAATGCTCAAATCTGTTGTTCTTGACAGAAAACTAATGGGAAGCAGAAAACAGGGCCGTGTGTGATTGAACTTCTTAGTTCTGATTCAGAGAAGAACATCGGAGAGTTTTGGTCTGGTCTATGGTCTATTTTTGTTCTATTGTACCTGATGATGAAACAGAACCCATCTTACCACATAGGAGGGCTTTTCATACTGTTTTACTGTTCAGTCTCCATGTTTGGACTTGGCCGTTGTGCAGCTTTCTCCAGTAGCCACCCTTCTATCAGTACATTATCTCATTAAGTAAACAAAGTTTACAGCCTTCACATCCGGCTCTAATTTGGTGCAACCGTTCTTGATCTTGCCCACTCTAGAAACAAGTATCAGCTGCATGCTTGCTTGCTTTTGGGTTATTTTCATCAAAGTCTTGAAAACTTCCAGTAGAGGAGCCACCCACCAGTCTGAGGGGGACCTTGAGACTGAATATTAGCTATGACCTACATTCTCCATCAACAGCATCAAAGGCAGGAGTATAGTACCTGCATCTGCTGAAGTCCAAATTATCTTTGATATTGAACCAAAGTAAAGTCCATCATCAAACTGGCAGGGGGCTTTCCTCCATTTTCTTCTCCTCTCTACCAAACTCTCTTAGATTTAAGGTATTAAATCAGAGCACTCTGAGAAAAAGTAATCATACATTTTACCCTTTAGATTTTCTCTTTTATTAGTCATTAACAACATCATTTCATTATTAAGGATTATATCCATTTTTATCATGGTATATATATATATATATATATATATATATATATATATATATATATATATATA